AGTGATTAGAAGAGTTGGCACCCAATAAATATTCTCTGAATAAAATAATAAGTTAATGAATAATTGTATCCAAAATAGCCCATGCCGCACCATATTGGGAAATACTGGCCTACTTGTTTGTTGCTCCCAGTGGACTGGAGCCAACAAATGAGCTTCTCAAGAGCACTGAGACCTTTTTTTCTCTATCTCTAGGTTTTTATAAGCAGTAGTGTCTGACACCTTGGTGGTGCTCAGTAAATGTTCCTAGGAAAACAAAACAAAGTAAAACAAAACTCTTAACCTACCTTAGCTAGTTGAGTAGCTGAATTTCACATAAAAAGTCTAATTTCTTTCATTAGAATCAGTTTCACAGAATGTTTTACTCCCTTCAACATATATTCCAAATATCCAAACCTTGACTTTGCTTACAGCAAAATTTTACCTATACTTTTCTACTTTACAGACTGTAAGATAAACACTTTATTAAAGGCACTTTTTGTTTCTTCCTGATCACCAATACGAACCTGACATTATAATAAAGTTGGAGGTGGGGTGGTAAGTTATTACTGGCACAAACTTTCCTTACCAACATCTCATCATTCTTTCTTTTGGCAAAGGAATGAAATACAAACATGTTAGGGTTAGATGTGACCTTTCTTGTTTTGTAGTGCAATCTGAACTTTTCAATCTTTTGTGCAGAGGAAAATATTGAGGCTTAAAGACACTGAATAACTTGCACAAGACCCTGTGTCAAGTAGCAGAATATACAAGCAGGTGGAGAGGCAACTATCATATTAGTGGCAACTGTAATAGTCGAAATCTTGGAGAATGTATTACTTGACAAGTAAAATGCAATTCTGGGACTGGAGAAACAGTTCTTGTGTATTTATTGTCTATTTGACTGGCCTGAATCTACTCTCTGACTTAGAGTCCATGTGGACCCATCAAAACTATTTGGAAGGAACCCTCAATATTCTGGAATATTTAAAGATGGTTTGTGCAGGCCCAGTACTTTGTGTTATAGATTCTATGCTGTTCTAGAGTCCTTAGCAATGTCCCATGATAAAATAAATTTATGTTTGGGAATTTGTTTGATATCCTGATTGACTTCTATTATTCCTCACTGGATTTATGATTTATTTGAGATGTAGTTAGTATACCTACATTTAGTTGTTACCTAAGCTGGGAGATAGGCACTTCATTCTTTCTCCTTTTGGTTCTTCCATATCATCATGAATTCAAACTGTAGGGCCCCATCTTCTAGAGTGTGGTTACTGCATTGTGTTTATCATTTAACCACAATTCTTATCTTTTTATAGAAGGTAGCACTTTCTCTTTTGGATATGTAGTTAATGACACTTGTGTATACATCACCTGTTACAAACTGCTACTATCCGTGGTACTAATAGCTACAAGTCTGTTCTCTAACTGATGGCTTCTATTTGCTTCTTGGAGAAAATGTATGTGCTAAGCAAATGGTTTAGCTGGATTAATCTCTTTCTATATCAGTTGCTTCTTAACAGGTTAATGAAATTGTGATGTGTGTCAAACAAATAGGTTCAACTTTTATCTGACACACTTTCTATATAATACAGCTTTTAATCATTTAACTTTGAAGTTTATAATAAAAGTAGTTATAGGCACAAGTATGAAAGAGCAAAAGTGTTTCCAAGAACTTTATAATATGTATCTCTTGGCAATAAAACCTATAGGTAAGATAAAAATTATGCATATTAAGAATTTATAAAAGAATCTGATGAAGATTTTGATCTATAATTTTGCATTACTTGCAACTGAGAGTCAGTGCATTTATTTCTCAGAACCCCAGGATAATCTACTAACATGACTGTATAAACCTATACTGCATCTTTATCTTTGTCAGTATTATCTTTTATGCAATATGGTAGTCCTTAGGGAGCATTAATTGCTAGCTATCTCTTAGCCACTTAAGGGTAATCTTGGAACAATTACCATGTATTTATGGGAATGAGGCATTCATTTATTTATTGCCTTTCTCTTAAAAATCCCATAGCATTTGCAAGAAGATAACAGTATAAATATGCCCACTTGTCTTTGCGGGAATTATTCCTTTCTCCATCTCCACCACCCACCTCAGCATCGCCACAGCACCCTTATGTGGGGCTCATACTTACAAGTTAAAACTACAACGATTATTGCCACTCAAAAGCATATTGAATCTATCCTTTCTCAATTAGCCTTTCTTTTCTTTTCTTATCTTTTCTCTCTTTCTTTTTCTTTTTCTTAAAATGGAATAAGGACCTTCACCTAGGAATCATACAAATTGGGCTACGTAAGGGTCACTGGTCCCAATTTTACACAAGATTGTTAGAGATGTAAAGCAATCACTGTGTTAGTTGTTTGAATGTCTTTGTGAAATAAACTATCTCAAACTGGCAGACAGGTGCCATAAATTATCTTATTAAACCTCTTCAGTTGATTTTGAATAATTCCTACTACTTCATAGGGCCAAATTATACATAATATTATATAGATAATAAAACACATAGGGATACATGAATAATTCACAGAATATGATTTATCAAAGGTAGAAAATATATATCTGATCTGAATTTATTGTTAGATATTTATTTCCAGATATTTCATGCATAAATACTCATACGAGGACTTCAACAGCATACTTAAATTATTTTAAATGCTTTGCAAAGGTTCATAATCCAACTTTAAAATTATCTTTTTCATTCCAGAGAGATATAAAACAGAAGGAATAACTTGAAATGTTCATGCTAAATTAATGACAAGGAAGTCAGAAAATATAAAAGAAATAATTAATATGTTGTTTCCTCTCTCTCTTTTAGATTAGTATTTTTGCTAGGTATTGTGGCATATCTGGATCTCTCCAAATTTTACATAAGAGGTAGTTTATTCCACTCACCTAAATATTTTCCTTATTTTAAAAAAAGTATTGTGTTATTTTATTCAGATTGTCATTTAGTTAATGCTATTTAATTCAGATAAGGCAAAGTGTAAAACTCTGACTTATTCACTGTGATACAGCAAAATAAAAAGCAGAGAAACAAAAAATCCCATGGGTCTGTCAAACAGACAGACCTCAGTTTGAACATCAGTCATACCACTTACTATGGATTAGAGGTCCTTATGTGGGTTAATTCACCTGTTTGATATTCAATATCCTTCAGTGAATACTGAAGGTTCAGC